GATCTCATGACTCTAAGATCAGGACCTGAGCTGAAACCAAGAGTTGGTTGCTTATTGGACTGTGCCACCCAGGCACCCCTGGCATGCTTTAGAATCACTTTCTAAAAATGCAGAGTGCTGGGCTCCACTCCCAAAGTTTCTGATCTAGAATGGCTGGTGTGGGGCCTGAGATTTGCATTTCCAACAAATTCACAGGTGCTGCTGATGTTTCTGGTCCAGGGACCCCCCCTACTTGGTGACCTATCGGAATCACCTGGAGAGCTTTAAAAAAATACTGATGGTCGGATCCCCCCTCCAAAGATTGTGATGTCCTTCCTCTGGGTTCCTTTCTGGCATAAAGCTTCCTAAGTGATTCTGATTTGTAGTCAAGCTTGAGGCCCACTGGGCTATGGAACCTTAGGAAACTGATCAATCTGGGGCGCCTGGGTGGCTCAGTCAGTTAAGCGTCTGCCTTTAGCTCAGGTCATGATCCCAGGGTCCTGGGATCGAGTCCCACATCGGGCTCCCTGCTCAGCGGGGAGCCTGCTTCTCCCTCTCCCTCTGCTGTTCCCCCTGCTTGTGCGCACTCTCTCTGTCAAATAAATAAATAAAAATCTTAAAAAAAAAAAAAAAAGGGAACTGACCAATCTTGCTGCAAGGTGCCAGGAAGAATTTGATAAGAGAAATGATTTCATAAAATAATTTTCTAATCTCACTTGTTTTTTAGATTTTCTTTTTTGGTCTTATATGTCCCTGGTATAATCTGAAGAGGAGATGCAGAGAGAAGTTCTCAAGCCTTCACTATAAGCTCAGCTGCCGCCCACCTGACTCACGCTGTCACCTTAAATGATGCGGAGCCTGTTGGAGCCTTCCAGACCCGAAAAGTCAAGTTCATTAACTGCCTTTCAAGTAACAACTCTGAATTTTTAAAGAAAAAAGTCTTTTTCTTACTTTACACTTAATTTACTGTATTGCTTTTGCGAAATGCCCTCTGTGCCCCCAAGGCCTGCCTGCTGGGTCACGTGGTGTTCTCTGTAATGAGTCTCAAAATGAGTTTGGCAATGCCCTCTTACTAGTCAGCAGGGTGTAAACGAACTCATCTGCATGTCAGCTGGGGGTTTATGTCCCATTCTCCAAGTTCACTTCCATTATAATGCCAACGCACTGCCCACTGGCCAGGGTTTCAGACCACTGGACTCACAGGGATTTGAAGAGCAACGAAGCCAGCAATCTTAACTTACAGGAAACTGGGCTCCATAGAGTTGAGCTGACCTGCCCAAGGTCATGTCTCTTATCACAAATACAGCTAAAATGTAATCTTGTAGCCATGAACTCACATTTTATTAGTACAGAAAAAGGAGTTCTCAGGACTTAGCAGAAAGGAGGCAGATTCTATATTTAAGGTCAAGGGAACTGAGGACCTGACCATTGATATCAGGTAAAACCAGGTCTACCCAAATGAGGACTGGCTTGGGGCCCAAAGATGCCATCAGAAGACCCCCTCCCCTACTGGGGAGAGCCACATCTTTTTGTAGCTTGCACAGTGACAAGAGGGGCTGGGAGAGGCAGAAGCAGCGGGAACCGGGGAGGTCCAAATCTAAACACAACCAGTTCTATGCCCAGCCCATGCTGAATATTCTCAAACTGGCCTTAGTGGGCCTACAAAGAGGGGGCTTCTAAAAGTGTCTTCTTTGGCGTGAGCTTGAGACTCCTCGTGCAGAACAGATACTGCCCCCAATCAAGGTTAGTACAATTTTCTTTTTTCTCCAAAGCTCACAGCTGCAAATGCCTACCAACTGGGTCTCCAGCACCTTGGGATTCTGGAAGGCCCCCAGCTGCACCCAGAGGAGAAGGGGGCAGGGAGTGATGTCACGCGGTGCTGGCACTCATCACCCCCTTTTGCATTTCTCCCACGTTTCGGCTATGTGGCCTGTCAGCACTGATGATGGCCTGGAGGCTTTTAGAACAGATTTCCTAGCCCTGCTACCTTTCCTTCTTTCTCAAGCATTTACTGAGCAACCAAGGCTTTTGTGGGCTGACTCCATCCGTACTTCTGTGGAGAGGGTTAGATGCTGGGCGGGGGAGGTGAGGAGGGGGGTGTCCGATTCAGAGCTTGGAGATCTGAGTTCCAGGCCTGGCTCAGGCCTAGATAAAACACAGCGTTTCCCTGGGCCTCGGTTTACTTATCTCGGTAAGCAGGCATAAGGTTCCTGTCATCTTAACAGCATTCCTTAAGCATTTCCTCAAAGAGCAGCCAGTCCTGAAATCCTCATTAAGCTTTACTTGCTTCAGGAAGCAGAATTAGGGTAAAACCAATTATGGACTAGCCTAATTTTGGTGAATATGATCTTATGGAGTCAAGAATTCTGCAAGCATATTTTTCCTGGATGCAACTGCCAATTATTTTCATCTTTATCTCAACAAGTTCTGGAGACATATTTACCCCCAAGCAGAAGAAAAGCCAACAGGAGCCCTCAGACCCTTCCGGGGTGTGAAGGATGGGAATGTGAACCAGTGAGCTGGTGAGAGGGACCCAGCCAAACTCAATATGGGAAAAGGGACAAGCATTTTGGCGGGGAGAATGGACGGGAGGATTCCCAGACTCTGGAGGGCAGCTGAAGTCACATAGGAGGGCAGATGGATTACCGCCTTCAGCAAATTACATAAATTTGAGAGCCTCAGTTTTCTTATCCAAACACTGGGCATAATAGAATCTCCCCCCACTACAACACAGCGTTCTGTGAGGCATGAAACAAACCCACAACTTTGCTACGTCTAAATTTTGCTGCTCTCTCTGCAAGAGAGGCGTGACCGCCATATTTGCTTGTCAAAATTCTACTGGTCCTCCAAATGCCTAGTCCCATGCCAGCCTGGGTGTGAAAGCCCCTCCCTCCCTTTGATCACATGGCGCCTTGTCTATACCACTAATGTTCTAATTTGCATCACAATAATTTGTAGACTTGTCTGGGCATTTCCTTCCAGAAGCTCAGGAAGGTCAGAGACTATCTTGCTCACCTCGTCCCCACTCCAGCACCCAGAACCGTTCCATAAGAGATTGCTGAATTAAAGGGCGATGCAAAGTATTAGATTCAATACAACTACAATGTGCTTGTGAGTACAAATAACCAAAAAAGTATAATACACTCTTGAAAGAAATTGGTGGGTAGCCAAATGAAAACCTCTTTCAATATAGTATGTTTTTATATAATAAAATGTAAACTATTTTTACTTATATATTAGTGTTTTTTTGTATATTAAAATTGATATTATTAACATAGTTACATGCATATCCACAAACTACTTAACTCTTAAAAAGGTTTAAGGCAGGGCGCCTGGGTGGCTCAGTTGGTTAAGCGACTGCCTTCTGCTCAGGTCATGATCCCAGGGTCCTGGGATCGAGTCCCACAGCAGGCTCCCGGCTCAGCCGGGAGCCTGCTTCTCCCTCTGACCCTCTCCCCTCTCATGCTGTTTCTCTCTCTCTCTCTCTCTCAAATAAATAAATAAAATCTTAAAAAAAAAAGGTTTAAGGCAGTCAGTAATTGTTGATAGTATGGCTGAATTTTTATCCCTTCTTCTAACTCCTGATAACCCCTTTTCTGCTTTCCCTTTCTTTTTTCCGTATCACTTAAAGCCTGCTAATATAATAATGGTTTTCTTATTTATTATGTCCATTGCTTACTGTTTTGTTTGTCTTCTCCACCAAAGTGCAAGCTTTTGAGGGCAGGGATGTTTGCATGTGTTCTTCCGCATGTATCTCAAGGTCTAGAAGAGTATCTGGTATATGGTAGGAGTGCAATAAATATTCACAGGACGCAGGCATGCATGCATGAATGCGTGAATGAATAAATGTCCCATTCAACTACCAGAAAGCCCCGAACCACCAGCTCTACCATCCGAGACTTAAGATGACAAGACTGAGTCCCGCTGATGTCTTCACAGTGTACTTTAGTGTCAAAAAAATCCACTTTCTAAGAACCTGTCCAAAGCCAGACCTCCAGGGATATTCTTAAAAGGGAGAACGCCTTCCTCAGACCCATCCTTCCCTCACCTCTAATGAGTATATGAAATAGACCACAGAAAGCAGGTTTTGGTCCCCTCCTTAGCAATCCATAGGTCAGAGTCAAGGTGCTTTCTGGCAAGTCACCACATATGAATTAAAACAGCTGTGCGGTCACAGCAAAGCTCCCACCACCGGGGACGTAAATGAAAACAGTGGTTACTGACCAGAACTTTCCTTAAGGGAACTAGAAGCTCCTTCTTAACCTAAATGTGGACTCAAAATAAACTGTTCACATACAGCAGTTTAAAAAATCCAGGCGGGGACAATGTAACAGGTGACAGACCCCGAACATACACATGGCTGCTACTCGGTCAACTTTCTTCCAGAAGTTCCACATTTTCCCCAGTTACTGCAGTTAAGAGCAGATACATCAGTATTCTCCACGTCCCACGCCTTTTCCCCCAGGGAGATGCCAAGGCCCAAGTACCTTCAAAAAATAAAAAATTCCCTTTGAGGCCGAATGTATCTGCAAGTATTGCTTGAGCTGGATGGAGGTCTTTGAAACCCAGTGGGGACTGGGATCGTGGGCGGTTTTACTTTTCTTTGGGTGCTTTGAGGTAGTTCCCAAGTTTTCTACAAGAATGTCTGCGAGTTCATAAAAATGGGGAAATGTGGTTGCTATTTGGTGGTGAGACAGTCTCTAAGTGAAGCCGGGCAGAGGGAAGGGAGGCACGGACCGAATCCTCCATCCCGTCCCATCTCTCGGTGCGGGGGTGGGGGGGTGGGGGGGTCGCGGCGCCTCCGGCCTGGGGGACTGAGACCCGCTCCCTGGAGCCCCCATCAGGGTGGCCCGACTGGGGCGCCGGCGCGCGGGGCGAGGAGCCGGGAGGCGGGAGCCTGCACTTACCGGGTCCGGGGCGCCGAGGCAGCCGGGTGCGCAGCGGGTCTGCCGGGCCGCTAGCAGGACACCCACCGCCGAGCCCGAGGCAGCGCGCTACCGGGCGAGCGGCGGCGCAGGCAGACGGGCGGGGCCTCCCGGAGCCCGCGGGCGCCCCGCCCCGACCCCGCGCAGCCCGGCCGCGCCCCGGCCCCCCGCCCGCCGCCCCACCCCCCGCTCCGACCCACCCCAGACCAGCCCCGGCCCACCCGGCCCTCCGCTGCCTGCGTCCCCGGCTGAGCGCCTGGGATCGCGCCCCGGACCGGCCGAAGGTCCGTATTACTACAAGTGCCAGACAGACAGACAGATCTACCTTCCCGCGGGACTTTGCAGTGGGCAGGCTAGAAGCAAGAGAAAGGCATTCCTGGAGACCCCCACCCTCGGCAGAGAGCCAGGACAAACGTCCCTTCCAACAGCTCCAAACAATAACTTAAAGACTCACAACCCCAGCAACTCCTTTTAGCTGCATCCCGCACCCCAGCTGTGTCCTTGCATCTATGCGCCCAAATTATGCAACACTGGGTGTCCGTCCAGCTCCCAGCTGGAGGTGCAGCTGTGCACCGGACTGGAGTGATCCCGGCCCGCGGGAGTTAGTCGCTGGGGCCACCCACGCCTTGGCAGGGGCTCTCCAAAGTCCTTGGGGGCAGTGGGACGGGCCACGAGGGGCAAACCGCACAAGGGCCCCAGTGACCTGCCAGCAAATTTCACGGCCGCTGCCCACAAGCGTGGGAGGGGAGACCAGGCCCCGGCCATTTCCAAAGAACAGGCCGGTGGAAGCTCTGGGGAATGAGGTCCAGGCTCACGCTCTGCAGGCCTCTGCAGGTGGGGAGCAAAGGAAGAAGTTTCCTGACCTAGGGCCCAAAGATGCTCCCTCTGCTTGATCTTCTTCCTTCACTCTCCTTCTTGGGCCTTGGGCTGGGTGCTCTCCTGGGGAGGAGGCTCTCAGAGGGGTCCGCCGTCCGCGTGTGACGTTCCAGCATTCAGTTCAGCGGGTAGAGGTGGAGTTGGCACCTGGGTGCCAGTACAAACCCACCCCAGACACTTGGGAAAGCCCTAAAATGCCCCTAGCCTGGATGTGTAATTGTACACTGTGAAGTCTGTTCTGCGCGGAGGGAAAAGCTTTATGCATAGAAAAGTTCTCTGTAGGGGCGCCTGGGCGGCTCAGTCGGTTAAGCGTCTGCCTTCCGCTCAGGTCATGATCCCGGGGTCTTGGGATTGAGCCCCATATCGAGATCCCCACTCAGCAGGGAGCCTGCTTCTCCCTCTCCCTCTGCCTGCCTCTCGCCCTGCTTGTGCTCTCTCTCTGTGTCAAATAAATAAAATCTTAAAAGAAAAAGTTCTCTGTAGTTTTACTTGCAATAGCTAGAAACTGAATGTCTCAAAACAGAAAAGTGGTTAATGATGGTACCTCTGATAGAGCATTACTCTACATACTGGAACATTACCAGCGGTCAGTAAGGTAATGTTTACAAATAGTTTGTAACAGCATGTGAGATCCTTATATTGTGGTGTTAAGTGAAAAATAACAAGACTCTAAATTGCACACACAGGATGCTATGCGTCAGTTCATCTCAAGACTAAAAAAACACACCACCATGTTAATATTGTCTATTGATGGTGGGCTTGTGTGGGATCTATTTTCTTATTGACACTATTCTGTGTTTTCCTTTTCCTTTTTTTGTTATTTTGCAATAACTCTAGGTTCTTTAATATTTAGGGAAAAATACATACACTTTATCTGGAAATTCCCTAGGTCACGCTGTATGGAGGTGGTCTCTTTTTGCCCACCTTTCCACGAAGGACTCCCCACGGGGGGAAATGGATAGTGGATTGAAGCAAAAATGTTTGTCCTGTCCAACTTGTGTGCAGCCCTTTCAGTGCCAGTCCACAGGCCAGGTGACTGTGTGTGGTACGCCCCACACCAGCTGTGAGATTACTATGTCCCCTGGCGGGGGAACAGTGCCTGCCCACCTGTCACCCAGTTATTGTGGAGACAGTGTGTATGGTGGCGTTTGCAAAAGGTGTGACCTCTGTGAGTGGTGGTGCTCTTCTTTCTCTTCCTGGTTCTCTCCATTCCCCATATGATGGATTATTTGATTATGATGATACCATTTTTGTCATTTCTTACTTGTAATGATACGAACATGATTATAGGCAAGAAAAGACTGCGTTTTGTTTCTTTTTTTTTTAAAGATTTTATTTATTGATTGGTAGAGAGAGAGAGCGAGAAACAGAGTACAAGCAGGGGGAGCTGCAGGCAGAGGGAGAGGGAGAAGCAGGCTGCCCGCTGAGCAGGGAGGCCGATGCGGGGCTCGATCCCAGGACCCTGGGATCACGACCTGAGCCGAAGGCAGACGCTTAACGACTGAGCCACCCAGGCTCCCTGTTTCTTTTTTTCTAAGACTTTATTTATTTATTTGAGAGAGAGAGAATGAAAGAGCACAAGACTGGGGAGGGTCAGAGGAAGAAGCAGACTCCCTGCTAAGCAGGGAGCCCGATGCAGGACTCCATCTTGGGACTCCAGGATCATGACCTGAGCCGAAGGCAGTCGCTTAACCAACTGAGCCACCCGGGAGCCCTGACCGTATTTTGTTTCTTGAAATGGTTTCTCCTTTTCTCTTTCTCTTCCTACTTTTACCTTTCTAGACTCACCCTGCCCCACCATCCAGGTGTGATCCAACTTAAAATAATCATAACAATAGAGCTATAGCTCGCAAAGCCCTTGGGTCGGTCATTTCTCTCTTCTCTCTCTGGTTCCTCCACCTTTTCCATTCTTCTTGGTCCCTTTCCTGGAACTGGGTGTTGGGAAAGGGGTGGCAAGTGTAGCCCCCCTGCTCTTCTCAGTGGGTTTATGTTCCTCTTCTGTGAGTTCCCATTTCAATGCAGGTGGCATCTGAAGCCAGAGCTCCAGCTACTTTTCTTTCTTTCATAGGAAAATCTCATAACTCAATTTGCAACTTGGATGTCCTGCTTATGTTCCTAACCTTGCTCACACACTCTAGGAGAAAGAACAGCTCTGCCATCGGAAAGGACTGGTCTGCAGTGTAACCCACCCACCCAGGATGCTCTTATGGACTCGACCAGGATATGTAGACAGTTCTTGGCTGTTCCCTCTGGCTGCCATTAAGTTGGTGTCCAGATGCCCCTGCATTAGCGTCAAGACATCCCCTGCCCTTTGACCCCTCTTTCTTCCTGCTTTTTCACCCCTCTACCCCATGGCTTCTACTATCCCATGGGAAACTCTCATTTGTCAGTGAGGAACACCTGCAAGGCAAACAACCTTTCTTTAGTAGCAGCAGGGCATATCCTGAGTGCGGTCACATGCTCATTACAATACTTCCTCCAAGAAGGACAAAGAGAAGGAAGGGCACTGAAGTCCTCATTCTGCCCCCCTGGTGACAGATGAGGTGCAGAGTGATGGAAGAGAGCCCCACCCTGCCCCCTGCCTATCACTGGGGGTGCTGTCCCCCCCATTGTTGTCCACGGCTCCATCAGCACCCCACACAGGTGGCTCTGCATGTCTGTGTCTTCTCTGATGGGCACGTGGTGCTCTCATCTCTCTGTCCCCTTCCCTTAGCCAACAACTCCCCATCTGATTCACTTGGTTGTAGGAGGCCTGGCCTCAATTTCCTCCCAGGGCTCCTCTTTGGGTAGGGGTCCTGCACACAAGGGGCATTCTTCCCAAATGCCACGGTCCCTGGCATTCTCCTAAAACCCCCTAGAGGATTGCTCTTGTTCCGAAAAGAAACCACCCACAATCTGTATATAGCCCATTCCAGCTCCATGATCTTACTTTCCACTGTTCTGCTCCACCAAGCTTCCAGACCCAGCAAAAGACACACCTCCATTGTTTGTGTACAACCTGCCCTTCCCCCCTCCAGACAGGTGGACGATCATCCTCCAACTTGGGCCCAGGACATTTTCAAATCCCAGATCTTCAGCAAAGGGCTAGAATGTGGGGTCGGTGACCAGCTCTGAGCCTCTTGGCACAGAGCCTGTTTGCTTTAGTTCTGAATTTGTTTTCAAGATGAAAAAATTGAGATCTCTCATACTAAACATCAAGATGTCTGGCTTCTCTTACAAAACTCAACAGGTCTAGAAACTTTATGCTCACTTTTGGCAAAGCAACCAATGGTAGGGGCTGCCTTTTCCACAAAAAGACACACTAGAGAGTATACCACATGCCCTCCCAACTCCACATTCTCCCTGGCAAGGACAATGAGCAGGACCCACTCACTCAGTATCCTGCCTGTCGGTAGGTATTGAGTTGGTCACTTCTGTTCTAGTCCTTTCCCTTCCAGGACAAAGCCCCTTGTCTGGCTGTTCCTTCACTTTGCATGCTTGGGAACTCCTTTCTGCCCGTGTTTTGTCTTGGCTCATTTGCTGTGTTGCCAGTGTTCTTTGGCTGTGTCAAAGGCGGATGTTTTGTTTATCCTTTTAGAGCAAGGGTTCTTAATTTTTCAGGAATCTTCGTGGGAATCTGAGAAAAGCTGTGGCTTTCCTCCCATTCCTCCAAAGGCACAGATGTGCAACATTTTGCCTACAATTCAGGAGACCCCAGGGATGCTGGGCGATTCATTGCCGCCGTGTTAGGGACTTCAGGGTAAGGACCATCTTTTCCGTGAAACAAACTCAACTCTCTAGGACCGATTCTATGGGTCTTTACTGTGTACTTTGCTCAACAAATGCCACCAAGTGTTGCCTGACCGTTGGACAGCAAGACTGTCCATGAAAATAGTTGCTCAAGCTGCCTCTACCCGGGTTCCTGGGAGCACAGTTCTAATTCTTGGCACCCTTGAGTCACCCAAGGAAGATGATTGGTGTACCAGCTCCCGACCCACCAAGTCAAGCATCACAGCTGCCCTTTCATTGTGACAAATAACCACAGCCTTCACCTTGCTATGAAAAGAGCACAAATCCAATTAAGAAAGCTTTTCCCAAAGAAATAACATCGTTGTTCCCTCCCCCCATCCCTTTTTTGTCCCAGAATAATGCTATGCTGATAGGAACATGATAAAT